TGCTAAAACCTCCTTTGACTTCAACGGAGCCAGGAGTTCGCCCTAAGACTGGAGCAGGAGAATGCCTGTGTATAGCTAGTCTAGTGCAGGGGTGTAGCCATGGGTGGGCTGTGGCCCACCCATTTAGCATCCAGGCCCACCTAAATCTGGGCCAAAGCCCCCGAATCCACAGGCTGGGACTCCCATCCCTGGCTCGATGTCCATCTGCCTGGCTGTGTCTTTCTCCAGCTTCCCTGGTCTGTGGCCCCAGCACTAGCCCCGTGGAGGGTGTGCCTTGTGGGGGTAGGGGTGGTTGAAATGCAGGGCTAGTGCTGGGGCCGGAGACTGGAGCAGCAGCTCCTGGCACCGGCAGGAAAGGGACGCGGTTGGGCTGACAGACACCGAGTCAGGGTTGGGAAGGGTGGGTGGAGCTCGAGCCCCGGCGGGACCCCCCTTCACCACAAGGGTATGCCTAGGTGACCAGAAGTCCTGATTTTATAGGGATAGTCCTGATATCTGGGGCTTTTTCTTATATAGGCGCCTATTACCTCCCATCACCTGTCCAATTTTTCACATTTGCTATCTGGTTACCCTAGGCACGTCCCACAGCCTGTGTGCCCCGGGCAGCCACAGCTTTGGGTACCTGCTGAGCGGTAAGGGCCGGCTGGAAGGGGTGGAGGGAGGCAATCCCCCTCCCTCCTGCCCCCTCCCAAGGGCACTGGATCCCTCCTACACCCCTCTCTCTGCCCCTCCTGTCATTGCCCACCCCCTGAAAGCTGAGGCCCACCCAGGTTTCCTGTCTTAGGCTAGGTCTATACTACCAGCCTGAATCGGCGGGTAGAAATCGACCTCTCGGGGATCGATTTATCGCGTCCCGTCGGGACGCGACAATCGATCCCCAAATCGGCGCTCTAACTCCACCAGCGGAGGTGGTAGTAAGCGCCGCCGACAGAAAGCCGCAGAAGTCGATTTTGCCGCCGTCCTCACAACGGGGTAAGTCGGCTGCGATACGTCAAATTCAGCTACGCTATTCACGTAGCTGAATTTGCGTATCTTAAATCGACTCCCCCCTGTAGTGTAGATGTACCCCTAGCTATGCCACTAGTGTGGTGTGAGGGTAGAGAGTAGATTTGGGGCTTTCCGAGGAGGCTTATGGATATAACTGGGTACCATAGCCCCTCAGGAAGGCCAGATGGGATCATGGCAGATGGAGCTCGTACGGAAGGGACCAGGTGTTTTTCCTTAGACGGGATTCTCCTTTCAGCAACTGTAGGGAGAAATCAGCATCTTCATGTGCTGAGGAGTTCCCTCTGAGAACCAGGGTATGGGCTGGGTAGGTAGTTAGGAGAGGCTGGGCAGGGCTGCAGGGAATTCAGTTAGGAATGCAGGTAGCAGCCTCTGTGAGAAGCAGGAGATCTGTGAGGTGAATTGTCCCCAAGGTACAAAGGTATCAGCTGTGAAGAGGAGAGTTGACATCTGTTGAGAGTGCTGGGCAGGGCGCTATAGGCTTAGTCATGGTTTGTAATGGCACCAGTGATTCTGGGCTCTGTGGGAGACAGTCCTGGAAGCTACGTGTCCATTATTTGGAAGAAGGTTGAAATCCAGGGCTTCTGCAGTAGGTTTCTCTTTAAGGATCCCAGTTACAGCCAGGCAAGAAGCCCTATGAAGACTCTGTACATGGATGAGAAGCTGGGGCAGAGAGGGGAACTGAAACGTCATTAAGCAGGAGGGATCCCTTTGGTGAGGGGAGAAGCAGATGATCATAATGGCCTCTTTGGGTCTTAAAATTCTACGGCTCTATAGACCCAATGGTGAGCTGGAGCTGGTTCGCACAGGTTCGCGGGGACTGGTTGTTAAATTTAGAAGCCTGTTTAGAACCGGCTGTTAAAGGGCTGGGCATGGTAAGGGGTCTGGCTGGAGCTGGGAGGAGGGGTTGGATAAGGGGCAAGGAGTGGTTGGAGGGGGCGGAGGTTCTGGGGAGGCGGTCAGGCGACGGGGAACGGGGGTGGGGGTGGGGGGTTGGGGCAGCCCGGCTTCCCCAGGTGGCAATTGAAAGGGTCTGCGGCACCCAGCAGCGGCTGGAGCTCCAGGCCCTTTAAATTGCCGCCAGAGCCCCACCGCCGCTACTCCAGGGCTCCGGCAGCTATTTAAAGGGCCAGGGCGGTAGAAGCAGGGGAGCCGTGGGCCCTTTAAATAGCCCCCGGAGCCCTGCTGCCGGAGCCCTGGGGTAGCAACAGCAGCAGCTGAGAACTCCTGGAAGCTACGTGTACATTGTTAGGAAGAAGATTGAAATCCACAAGTGAACCAGATTGGCTGGCCATTACAATAAAGGTTTCTAGAGAATTATTTTTCCTGCTGGGCCCTGGCCACATTCAGTGCCCAGGATAAATAAATTGGGGTTGTGCAGAGTCAGGCTATTGCCTGTATGACCCCTGCCTCATTCACTTTAGAAACTGGAAGGCCTGTAGAGAATGAGCAGGGGAGCGCAGGAAGAACTAGGATGATCTTGTTAAGAGCAGTGACCGTCATTCAGTAGAGCTCAGTTCTGTTCCTGCCTCTGCCACAGATTTCACAGGTGATGCTGAGCAGGTCTCTTAAGCCAGTTTTTATGGGGTCTGATTAGCAGAAGTACTGAACACTCACAACTGCCGCTAGGGTCAAGACAAGATGTGGCTGATCAGTTCTTCTGCAGTTAGGCAGTGTGGGCGGGTGGAACAAGTACAGGGCTGTGAGTCAAAACACTTTGTTTTATCTTATCTCTGCTGCTGACTCACTGGTTGGCCTTGAGCAAGTCACTTTGCTTTTCTCTCTCAGTTTCACCAGCTGCAAAATGAAGCTAATAATAATATGTTACCACCTGCTTTAACACTTTACAGAAATGGTGAGTACTCTGAAGAATCAAGGGTCTCAGGTTGGTGCCTAATCACTCCAGATAAGTAGCGAGTTTGGAAGTTTGGCTTTTATCATTGTATGTAACATTTTCAAAAGCAGCTAAATGATGTAGGAGCCTAAATGCCATTTTCAGAAGTGACTTAGGCAGCAAGAGGGAGAAGTCTGCATGGTTCTTGGGTTCCTACGTTACTGGAGAAAATGGGATTTAATCCCTAAGTCACTTAGGCACTTTTGAAAATATTATTCCTTGGCTTCTATATGCCTAAGTCACTTTTGAAAGGGGCATCATAAGAGTCTGCTATCTTCCAGAGGTGTTATGAAGACAAATTCATTAATGCCTGCGGTGCACTCTGATACTACGCTGACGAGCATCATGAAGAAATTAATAATTCTGTATTCAGTGCAGTGTTTGTATGGTACGTATAGTGAGTAAGGCCCTGGGTCACAGGTTGAATGATAAGGATAAAAAGAAATATTCTACAGCTCCTTCAGCCCCTGATCACCATCCTCCCCGTGCACTGAAGGAGGCAGGAGCTGGTGGGATGGAGGGGAATAATAAGACATGTGCATGCAATTAGACTGTGTCATAATGTATATGCAGAAGGGAGGGGGAAGGCTAAATTAACATTGCATGGGTAACCTTAACTCTGATATTCCCTAATTCTTGTGCATTTCGTTTTGACTAATAACACTGTTTAATTTTGTAATG